AGGAAACCCCCCCCCCCCCTCTTCCAGCATATCAGCTGGTTAGCAGATTCTTAAAGGAATTGAGTCTTTGGCCTAAACTCAAATTTTCTAATCCCCATATCTTTGCAACCTGATGGAATAAACCTTTGACATTTCAAACTTAGATTATTTGATCTAACAGAATTCTTAAATTGAAATGACTAAGGTCCAAGCCATTGCAGCTTCAAAGACAAAGGTATTAGAAAATCAGAGTTTGTGGCAAAGACTCAATTCATTTGATTTAAGAACAAATCCTTATCGAGAAATTAAATGCAATTTCAACTCTACCTGCACTTGTAACTGAGGACAGTGGTGTGATAAATCCCCCAGAGTATACACTTGTGTTGTACAGGCTTGTACCCGGCATCTGGTACATATAACCTTTCATTTTATGTACAAAGCAACAAACCCTAAACTGAGTAAACAATTCAGTTTATATGGTACAAATCTGTTCTCCCAACAAATGTTCGAATTATCAGAAGAATAACTTAATTTACAATAAACATAAAGTAAAGGGACTTAGTTATTTGCCACCAACTTAAAATTCGTAACCCCTTTATCTTTGCAACCTGTGTCCGAATTTAATGAATTTAAGACGCGTCTCAAATCCCCCAAAAACCGTTTTCAATTGAGCGCCGGCTTAAGTCTTGAAAAATTTAATACTAATTTAAGTAGAACTACTGTAATTTGAGCCGCGGTTTAAATTTAAACCGCGGCTCAAATTTTTTAAATTCGGCCTCTGATTTTATAAACCTTTGATATTTCAAACTTAGATTATTTTGTCTAACAGAATTCATAGATTGAATAAAATATCAAAGGTTTGCAACATTGGGTTGCAAAGATATGGGGATTGGTTTTTAATAAGTTGTTTGACAGCACACTTAAGTAACGATATTTGGCGTGGCTTGGAAATGTATTGCAGTCATACAGAAAAATGGACAATTGGGAAATTACATAATGAAAACATGCACTTCGTTTTCAAATATTCAGTACCTCGTTCGATGACAAGTCTAAAATCACATAATTTTTAAATATTACTATTCTGATTAGAAACATATATGGGCATCTCCTTTGATAAATAAAATTTTTGTCATCCTTTATTTTAACAATACTCTTGATGCAGAGTTAAAGAAATAAAGAAATAAAAGTAGAAACTAAATCATTTTTCTTGTAAGATAAAAAGGAATCCAGTTTCTCTATTTCTTTTCAATAAATATTAAATGAAATCAAGATGTTTCTATCTCTAAAGCTTTTAAAAATTCTAACTCCAATGAATTAATGTCGAAAGTTTTGTTTTAGATTCCCTCTTAATGGTCTGTGTGATAAACATAATCGTCAATAGAGAAATATAACGGGTCATATTACAAACATTAAAGAATTGCGAAATATCAATTAAAAAGGAAATAAAGCCAACTTAACAGTCAATATGTGATACCCCGTCGGTTCTATGCCCTTGTTCAACAACAAAAAGGTGAAACTTGTTTGAGTGAGAGAGGTTCCTTAAGATCTGGCAAAAAGCTGTGAATAACCATTCTTTGCAAAGTAAATCATCATTTCCCAAAACTTAATTTTCTTTAAAAAAAGAGTTGAAAATGCAATATGTACATTGTTTCTGCCTCAGACTAAACTATGGGTTAATCTATTATTCCTTTACACCAATTATACAAAAAGAAATTCCATTTAAAGGGACTGTAATCGTAATGCAAAGATGGCAATGCCCAATTTACAATAGTACCCTTTATAAGAATTATCTGCAGAATAAGCTCCATATCATTGATCAGATAAAGGTTTCAAGGGTACTGCTGTAAATCGGGCATTATCATCTTGGCATGTAGGGTCACTTGAAATTATGCGTACAGTTAAGTCCTTTTAACAACATTTAGACACAAAAAATCTGACAGTAATAGTTTAAGTCCATAACATTTGCAAAAACTAGTTTTTTAGTCCAAAACCAAAAATTCAGCCACAAATAGCATCTTAGTCCATAAAATCTGCTACCAAGTGAAATCTTACACCTGCCACAAACTCTCTAGATTAACCCCTTCCGTGTAAAACTGTTTTAACTAATATATTAGAGATTGATCTATGCTTGTCTACTTCTTCTGCTGCTTTGCTCCAGGATAAATACAATATCCCAATCTAATATTGCAGCTAAAGGTGAGAAGATGATTAGATCAGATTAACACCATACAATTCCACACTCTACAGGGGTATATATTTGTTGAAAAATCAATTTTCTTTCCTTTCCCATTCTTTCAGTTTAAATTTCTTTCCTGTAAGAAATGTAGGCTCAGGGTAGAAAACATTTTTTTTAATAACTTTTTTACAACATTGACTGGGGAAAATATGGGGCGGGGTTGATGTGGAGGGGTAGGGGTATTCTACTAGATATATAGTGAGAACCATAAAACTCTGGAAAAGAAAACGACCTTGAAGACTTAAGCTGTGCAAGTCCAATAAATATGAGAGACACAGCAATTGTAAAATGTTAACAGACCAATTTCACTTAATGCATGATTTTATAAGTTAATAGTAAAACTTATAGCTTTGTAACTAAATTGAATGCATTTAATGTTTGCTTTAATATTATTTTCCTACTTCATAGCTTTCTGGTTCTTACTGTATACCCCTGCAATTCTAAGGAAGTATATAATTAATAGTCTTTTGCATTAATGCCTGGTTTCAGGATTCTTTTATCTCTCTTCTGAAAATTGATTCACAAATTATCCTTATTTGGCTTCGTACTCATGTAATTATCTCTCACTAATGGTGTTAGGGATGTTCTCAATATATATATTTAATATAACAATTTGATCTATAAAAATAATTTATTCCTTGAGAAGTAATAAACCCTGATTTTTCTGTAAAAATATATATAAAAATATAATTTAATTTATGTTTTTACAATCTTGTTTATAATAAAACTAGCTTCTAAGTTGTCCAATAAATGTAAGATGTAAGAGTAGAATAAAAATGTTAAATAAATTAAAGAAACCCTGTGAGATTTTTTAGGTCGAAGGTTTATCTCCAAAACTGGGAAACCTTTTAGATTTAATAAACAATCCCTTTAGGTATCAAATCAGTCTCAATTAATGAATAAAGCTGTGAGATTGAAAGGTTTAGTACAAACTGAACACAATAATAAAATGGAAAAATATTTCTATGGTTTCATTGGTCTATACATTATGCAAATGAGAAAAAATTGAAAAGTATGAAATATTTTCAAATGTTTTACCTGTTCTAAAAGTTGCATTTGTTGACGTTTTTGTTCTTCACTTTGTACAGTATTTAAACCTAATAATAAGAACCTGAGGCCGAATTTAAAGAATTTGAGCCGCGGCTTAAATTTAAGCCGTGGCTGAAATATGGTTGGTTCCAATCAAAATTGCATTAAACTTTTCAAGATTCAAGCCGGCGCTCAATTAAGACCGTTTTTGGGGATTTGAGACGCGCTTAAATTCATTAAATTCGGACACTGAATTAAAAGAAAATAGTTTTACGAATGAAGTTGTTTTTGACCAAGAAAATATCTTGTTTGTTATTATTCAAAAACAGCGAACGAGAAAACAAAAATTATATTAATGTAAAGGATTTCAAGAAATATGGTTGATAGAAAAGAAATATAACATACAGAAAAGAAATATCGTTGATAGACAAGAAAGCTGGTTGATAAACAAGAAAAATGGTTGATAAACAAGGAATATGGTTGATATACAAGAAATATGGTTGATATACAAGGAATATGGTTGATATACAAGAAATATGGTTGATAAACAAGAAATATGGTTGATATACAAGGAATATGGTTGATAAACAAGAAATATGGTTGATATACAAGGAATACGACAGTAGACAAGAAATAAGGCGAATACATATGTAAACTAGTTACCTGGTAAAAACGGTTCATTTTGATTTCTGATAGAAGAAGTTGCTTGAGCCAGCATAGCGTTGATATTGTTGATTGCACTCACCTACAACAACAAAAAGAAATATATAACTTAAGTTAGAAATACGTCACCTATTAGCAGAAATATAAAATAAAGAAAAAAATATGATACAAATAAACACAGTTAGAAATACGTCATCTAATAGCAGAAATATAGATATATAGAAATATAGAAATATTTTATACTATGGTAGAAATACGGCACCTCTTTAGTTGTAGAATAATAGAAATAAACACTGTTAGAAATACATCACCACGGAGCAGAAAAATATAAATATAGAGTATACTGAGAGTAAAAACAATTGTTTACAAAATAAACAAATTATATTCCACTCCTCATAGTTTGCGTTATTTCTGTCTACTGTTAAATGACCAAATTATAATTATGTTACACTCTTGGAAAAATCTCTAATGTATAGTTGTAATGCTTGTTAAAAATATAGAAATTTAGGACATATTCTAATAATTTGATCATGATTTCAAATAAAATGATCGTTTTTTTAAAAATACTTTTAGTTGTTTGAGGTTATGAACAAAAGGTTAGATTTTTTTCTAACATTATATACTTTGAAATAAAAGAGCGCATCGTGGTTCCAAAAATACTAAATTCTGAATATCTTCGAAATGAACGGAAAAGAGCGGATGTAATATGTCAGATACAAAATATCTGATGCTTGAATAATAAATAGAAAATCAGAGATCAAAGCTGAGATCCATGCATTTCAATTTTCATTCAGATAACTATATTTTTGAACTAACATATACTAAAGGGACTGTAAACGTAATTTCAACTGACCCTGCATGCAAAAATTGCAATGTCGAATTCACAATGTTACTGTCCATGTGAATTTAATGGTTCTGTCAATATTCCAGAAAGTTGTTACTTTCAATCACAATTTGACCTATTAAACATGATTTTTTTTGCCTCTTTTTTTAATTACTTTCTTGTTGGCAAATAATTTTAAAATGAAATGTATAAAACAAACAAATCCGTAAGTTTAAGGATTGTTTAATTATAAACCAAAAAGCATATGACTTCAAATAGAACCGAACGCCTCTCACTCTGGTTAGTCCGGGGTTGCTTTGTCTGATCAAGTATGAATAAGATATCGTGTTTATAATTTTAAAAATAGATTATTTTCTATTTTCAATTTAAGTAACCTTCCATTTGTAATGTAGATTGTAGATACCATGTCCAATTCACGGTGTCTGATCAAAGATGATTGAGTGGTTGAATATTTATTACTTAATCTCCAGAAACGATTGTAATTGTTGAAAGCTCAGTAAGCCAGTTGTCTTTTATTTAAAAAAATATGATTATTTTTCCAGAAGTCATAGAAAATAAACATTTGAATTTTAAACCCCGAATTCTACATTGAGTATCCAGAATTTTAGAACTTTTACAATAGGAAATATTTGCCATCACTGCATGAATTTGCTGTCGGTTAGTTTACGCATCTATAAGCCCCCTACATCTTCTCAACTTGATGAAGTAAACCTTTGATATTTCAAAGTTAGACAAATTGATCTAACAGAATTCATAGTTTGAAATATCAAATAATCTCAGGTTGCAAAGATATGGAGATTTAAAAACAAGAGTTTGTTGCAAGAACTCAGTTTCTTTCAAGCATTTGTTAGCCATTGATCATTAGACAAAGAATAACAGGGTACCAATGTAACTCGGTAATGCAACTTGCAATACTGAAATTTTGGTCCCTTTAATGACTTGAATTGTATTCTAGTGTCATATTCCTATAAATTGAAGTTCTGACCTCGTCGATATCTCTGATGTTATTGTTGAAAAACTGACTTCCAAGGTAGCTGGTTACAGGGGTTGAAGGCTGAGATATGTCTCCTAAATATAACAAGAATCTAGGGTGCTTCGTGTTACAAGTCATTAACCTAGTTTACTTTCTGTTTAACGGATTTTCAAAAATCAGATATTTTTTCATAAACAGGATAGCATTTAATTTCATAATTTAAGATCTGGGGAAAAAAGTAAATAATTAAACATCAAAAGGTAAGTTTTCAGAAAAGATACAAAACAGCAATATTTAATTTTTACACATTATTTTTTCCATACATGCCAAAGCAAATATAAGTATTTTTTATTTCTTTGACAACACGTTAAGCGTTTCATGAACATTGTATAGGAAAATAGAAAATAGAAGATCTTGATAAGAATATATAAATAAATAAATAAATAAGTAACTATATAAAAAAATGTGAATAAAAAATGGGTCTGTCTTTATTTATCTTGTATATAATGATCAGGGGAGATCGATCACTTCTTGATAAACTTATTTTGGTAAAAAAAAGAACCCTCATTTTATGCTACTGTATCAGACTTAAGTTTAGTAATAAATGTAGAATATCCTAGGGGTTTTGTTTAGAATACACTAAACTTAAGATCAGCAAACACAGTAAATACTCAACTTAAGTTTGTTTAGTGATCATAACATAGTAAAACTAAACTTAAGCTCAGTAATTACAGTAAGTACAAACTAAATCTTAGTTTGATGAACACAGCTAAAACGAAACTTAGGTTCAGTAACCACGGTAATTAAAACAAAACCTAATTTCAGTAAATAGCAAACTTATAATTCAGATAGCAAACATAGATATGTATTTATACTACATCATAAGCTTTTGATATTTTATCTATGTTAAAATCTGATTTCAGAATAGAAGCATGGGACATATTTTACATAATTTTCAGAAATAAGTTTTATTGTGTAAAACCTGCTGTTATTTCTAACTTTGAGGCAAATTTTGGCAGAAATATAAAACATAAACTAAAAATGGTTGATGAGTAAGGATATCATATTTCTGAATTGAATCTGTTACCCTAAATCGTTTTTTTTCATGGGATGTCCAACCTGTTTTCCTAAGGCTTACAGAATTGTGTAGATGTAAAATTAAGTATAAATTGAACCTAAAACTGAAATTTTTCTTTTGAACTAATCTTTGAGTATTAGTAATCAAAACTTTCCAAACAAAATCTGTTGCACATATATTATGGAAAACAATAGAATTAAAATTCTTTAAAAATAAATGCAAATGAAATTGTTTGTTTCTTCCCATGGAATCTTTTTTTGTTTAAATAAATTCAGCTTTGATAATTAAGTTATTAAAGTAATGTTTGTTGTTAAAGAATGTATGTATTTTCCAGAAAAATATGCTTTTAAAACTCAGTTGCTTTAATGTTAAAAATTGGTTTAAAGTAAAAAATAATTTTTAATTTAACTTGGGTAACATGGGTATATCATTTCAGGAAATACATGACTTTTATTGATCTGGGGAAAAAAAATGAAAAATTGGACGTCAATAGATAAATTTTTTCAAATCTTTTGATACTTTTACCTGAGATTTTTATAATTTTTCCATAATTCAGCAAATAAAACTCTTACAACATACCTAACTCCTAGACCCCAAAAAACTTTTAATGGGGAGGGAATCATTATTTATTTTTAAAGAAAATATACATCCCCCTGCTTATAAGTGAACTAACAAACTGTAATGGTGAAGGGATTGATCAAATGTAAATCTTTTAATCTTTAAAATTTAAGATTTCACTTTCAGTAAATAACAAATATATAAAATATAAAATATATAAAAAGGTGAGATACGGAATCTTGCTGAAGTCTCTGAAGATAACAACAATGAAAATCAGAACAACAGTAAGGCTTTCTCAAAAAGTAAAAAAGTTTTTAATTAAAAAGTAATTAATGGAAACCTTGAAAATGATTTCCTACTGTTTAGATGAAATACCCTGCTGCAAAGAAAACAATATTATCAGTTGTAAATCAGTGCATGTACTTCCAGCATATCTTGGGAAAAGTATAGTTCATCTTCCAAATGAAATTAAAGTATTCTTTCTCAACAAGATTCCAGCATCTACTCTATCCTACCATTATGCCAATCATGGCATTGACGCAATATTCAATTACAATCCAGCAACTAAGAAATTACATGGCCAAGTGCATAAGGCTAATGGACAGGTATTTAACTTGGAAAACTGTGGAAAAGAAGTTCATGTTTGGAAAGAAATCAACACAACATTTACTCAAGATAAATATAAAGATAACAAGAATGATTACATTATACTCCCAACTCTGAACAATGATTATATTAGAGATACGCCTGTGGACAATATAACAATGACATTCATTTCTATCAAGTTCTATTATACTCCTTCAGCTCTTTCTTTTATCAATGATATTGATGGGTTTGTCGACCTACTCATCTCTTCTGCTAACCAAGGGTTTATAAATAGTAGAGTGCCAATAACTATTCGGAAGCACTGTGTTGAACTCTCAACAATAGATGATATCCATGACTCAAATGAAATGCTAACAAAATTCAAAGAGATGAAATCATCAATTGATGAACTGAAAGGTTCAGCAGATGCTACAACATTAATAGTAAATGACATGGATGCCTGCGGTAATAGTTATTTTAATGGAATTGATAGTGGATTAACACTCTCTGTTATCATAAAATCATGTGCACTATTAGAGTATAGTTTGGCACATGAGTTAGGACATAACATGGGCATACAACATAACCTGTCACCTAACAAGAAATATTTGTATGGACATGGACATTTGATTAAATCTGGGAATGGAAACCCAGGTTCTAGAACCATAATGGCATATTTTTCAAAAGGACATGAAATCCGCAAGAACGTTTTTTCCAATCCCTCAGTCCTAAATGGAGAAACTGGAACTAGAATTGGAATCGAAGGAAAATCTAATAGTGCTGCTGTTTTATTAAGAAACCGGATGAGAATGTCTCTATTAGGAGATGAGTCTGAGGAATGTTTTAGGGGTAAAATCATTGAATCAACCAGATTTGCTACTCCGAATATAACAATACCACAAAAATTCAGCTTTTCTAATTTTCCAAAATTAAAAGATGATCTTGCCAAAAAGAATTTTTCAATTCCAACATCATTGCCTAAGCCTGAATTCAGAGATGTCCTGGACAAGAAAAACAATACGTCAACATCACCATTGCCTTTGCCAAAAATAAAAGATGTCCTGGACAACAAAAAGAATACTTTAATACCTACACCGTTTGTTGGCAAAAAGAGTTTTTCAATAACAACATCAATGCCTTTTCCAAAACTAAAAGATGATCTTGAACAGCAAAAAAATACTTCAGTGCCACCACCAATGCCAAAGCCTGTTCCTAAATCTAAAGATATCTTTGATAAGAAAGCCAATACTTCAGCTATAACTAAATTGAAAAATGAATTTAGTGCCAAAAAGAATTCTTTCAAAACAACTTCCTTGCCTCTTACAAAATATAAGGGTATCCTTAATAAGAGAGTGAATGATTTTATACATGAAACAAAAACAACAACATTGCCTCCTCCTAAATTAAAAGACGACAATGGAAATAAAAATAATACTTCAATATCAACATTGCCTCTTCCTAGCCTAAAAGATGGCCTTGAAAAGAAAAAAAATACTTCAAAACCAATTATGACTTTGCCTCTTCCTAAAGTAAAAAATGAACTTGTTAGGAAAACAAATAATTCAATAAGAACAACACTCTCTCTACCTGGATCCAAAAAAGACATAGGCAATAAAAAAAACACTTTATTATTAGCATTGCCTCGTTCAAATGTAAAAGATGGCCTTGGAAATCAAAAAAACACTTCAAACCCAACAGCATCAGTCCCTCTTACAAAAATAAACCTTGGTATGAATAAAAATACTTCTATAATGGCAACAACATTATCTACTCCAACTTTAAAACCACTGAATTCATCTGCTGCAGGATTACCAAAGTTTGACCCATCAGTTTTTAAACTCAACAAGCATTCAAAATAATGAGTCACACTCACAAATATTAATAACAAATCTTAACATAATTAGTGCAAACAAATAATTTATCCTATTAATATGGCATGCAATTATAAGCAATAAATGATATGTTTTCTAGTGAGTGCAATTAAATATTAAATATAATTCTTGTTGAGCTCTTAAGCGGAAAATTAGTTCTAATGTTAATTTTAAGAAGCGTAGAAAACTTCAAGTAAGATAACATTTTAAAATTATGTTATCACTTCTAATCAAGTGATTGTCAAAAATATAATTTTTTTCTTTATATTTTTGTTCAGAATGATCAAAATGTGTTTGCTGTTGTAACAAGTTGAACATTTTAAAACTTTCAAACTGAAAAGGTCATTGTAAAGGTTAGATTATATTAATTAATATTTAAAATAAAAGGTTTCCTGTGAATATGCAGTTATTTCAGGCTGATGATGATCAGAATCATGCCTATATCCACCCTAGAAGAACAAAAATGATAATTATTATCTGAAAATAAATAGTGCAGAGACTGGATTATTGAGTTAAAATCTTTTATCACTGATTCAAAGTTAAAGATTCATGAGGTTTTAGGTCGTGAATTGGAGGATGAATCAGTGAATCAGGGTTTGAACGGGGGTTGGAAGATCAACAACTTCTCCAATTCATTAAATTTGGCCCCTGGTGTCTGGGTTCACTTTAACGGAGCTAATAAGTACAATTAAGTGTGAAAGAAAATATTAGATGTCCAAGAATTTGCAATGTAGTTTTTGACAGGGAGAAGGTGCAAGAAAATGAAACAAAATAAAATTTTAAAAAATATTCAATTGATAAAATATCATTACCATTTCTATCCAATGTAACTGTAAAAAGATTTGAACACACCTTTACAATTATCTGCCTTGAAACAGGCATATACACAGGCAGCTTGAGGACAAACAAGACTTAAACTGCACCTTTACACAGGCAGCTTGAGGACAAACAAGACTTAAACTGCACCTTTTAAGTCGAATATAAAAATATTTATATAGAATAAAATATATATCCAAAACTTGTGTGACCTTTTTTAATCTATCCTTTAACTTTTCATTCTTGCAACCAATTCCTTAATCTACAAATTTAAACTTTTTCATTTTTGCAACTAATTCTATAATCTATAAATTCTGAATAAAATCTAAACAAGATTACTTTCACATTTTAACTCTAAGTAAGTAAAAGATGTAATATACCCAAATCCCCAAAAAAGAATATCACTAATTTATGCCAAAATATATGTTTATTATCTAAAAGTGAGTTTTAAATTGTTGAGATCTGAGATTGGTAAACCCCCTTGATCTATCACTGGTCAATCAATATTCACCAAAAAAGGAAAAAGAATATCCCTAAAATTTTCTGGAGAGTAAAAGATACTGTAGTAAAACTCAGAGATAAATTTACTAGCTGGATCCAGATCCTGATCTTTTTACGAGACAGATCCAGAAATTGGAAATGGAATTAATTTCACAAGGTGGATTTTTTAACTGCCTTTCAAACAACATTACCATATTATGATTCATGCAACAGAGAAATGTTAGGTTACTTTCAGTGAATCTCCCAGATATATGAATACATAGTAAGAGTTTTTAATAATGTTGTATTACATATTTAAGATCAAATGCCGCAGAAAAATGAGTGTAATATTAATTTATCAATTGCATTCATATTTCAGGGCTATTAATTTACCTTGAATTAAAAATAAAAGATGTTTTTTTAAAATTAAAAAAAACTTATGACGGTCTGTGTATTCGTATATCTGGGATTTACAGTAACATCCTCTGGAACAGTTAAGTAAAATAAAGACCTGCTATGCGAAGTTAAAAAACAAATTCGAGCATTTTCTCGACCAATTTTGCCTTCAAGAATCCCTGGCTACACTTTTTTGTAAGCAAAATTAGTCTTGGGAGCCCTTTGTGAAGTTCCCCTAACTTCCCCGTAAGGTAGTTGAATATAATTATTATCCATTCTTGTTGTTAACCTGGTCATGCTTTTTCTTCAATGTAAGTTCGAGCATTAGTTCCTCATTTTGAACAGATTCCAGTTCAATCATCTTCTCAAGCTCACGCAACCGGGACTAAAATGGCAAGATTAGTTTTGAAGTAAAATTTTATTATTTATGTTGTTTTTTAGGAATCTTTGGCTATGAATAATGATACATGCACACATTTTTGTACTAATGTTCAAAGTTTGTTGCATTAAACGTTCAACTGGTGTCGTGTGTTTAAAGATGTAAATTTTTAGATGACTTTTAATTAAGATACATATAATCTCTTCAATCAAAAATTGATGATTCAGAGGTTGTAAATTTTGACAAGGTCCATCATCTAATACTGAGGAAACGCCAGTACTAATTCCACAAATTATCTCATTAATGTGGTAAAATTTTCAAGAAAATTCTGTTAGTTTTGATGCAAAAGTGCATATACCAATGTTTTGTAGCAGTTAATGTAAACATATTTTTTATTTTTATTTCTTACTCTACAGATGTCAGCGCGATTTTAAAACTGGAAAGAATCCTGGATTATCTGATAAACAAGACTACAAAGTTGGACCCAGCATCATTGCAAATAGTTTTCAGAGTGTATAAACATTATGTATATTCAGACTCAGTCTGAATTTATAATCAAAATATTATTTTGTTGTCTGTTTCAAACAAATTTACTGAAATACTTTTATAAAACTTTCCTAATCCCTGGTTCTCTCAACAATATATATGTTCCTACATTATAATGGTCTTTTGAAAGTTACATACATTTCAAAAGAACATTTACCAAAAGAAAGATAAAGTAAGTTTAAACATTAAGGCATGATAATGGCCTAAATTCAACTGATAAGAAAAATCTCTAAGAAGGTAAATAGTCCCTTAAGTATATGGCCCATTAATTCTGCTCAATGGGAAGGAAAGGGATAAATTCTAAATGTTTATCTTAAGATCTTTTTGAATATACAGATATTTATATTCAGATATTTTCTATAAATCTACAGATATTTATATTCAGATATTTTTTACAAATCTACAGATATTTATATTCAGATATTTTCTACAAATCTACATCAATTTACAAAATTTACAACTATTAGTTAAATATTTTATTGGGCCTTTTTTGATTTTTAGATAACTTTCTAAGAAAGTGAGCAGAATTCTAGCCGCCCCCCCCATCCCCCCTTTGACCACAAACACAATAAACTTTTAAAAGAAGATGAATGAAGGAAAGTAAAGGGGAAATTCAATAGACCCTCAACATAATCCATAACTGGTTCTTGAATTATTAACTTTCAATCATTTTTAAATTTTAATCTTTTCAATATTTTGCACATTCAATTTTCTTAAAATAAAGTATTTTTGAATCTACTAATAATTGAAAGTTCTCAAGACATTTTAAACATTCTCAAAATTTCCTCTATTGTTTCATTTAAAATCAGCAACTTACTTTATTGAGAAGCTTTAACTTAAATGGAAAATAACAAATTCTTGATCAGACAGAGTTTTTGAGGGCAATGTTGTGAATAGAACATGCCACTCTATAAATTGAGGGTCACTTAAATGAATTCAACAGACGCTTTCATATGTATAGCATGACTTTATTTGAATGCCAATATTCTTCAGAGTACATAGTTGTTATCTGATTTCTGTTAACCCATTATTATTTGTTAAACTTCAGACTAGCCTTGTAAACTCTACGCAATTCTGCTAAATTCCGCACAATTCAGAGCAATTCTGTGCAATTATGTGCAATTCCGTGCAATTCCGCGGAATTTGAAAACAGTTGTGTCCAATTCCGCGCAAACTCCAATTGGAAACCCAACTTCAGACCAATAAAAGTACCTGCAAAGTAGGTGCATCATCCGGCCCATTTCTGCCAGATTCAAGATTTTTCAACCTAAATATTTATTTTTCTTTGAAATTATAGGAAAAACTTTACAGCACTGATGATGACGACACGTCCAAGAAATATGAGAATGTTTGCTCCCTTAAAGGCACCAAAAAAACAACTGTTCAGGCTACTTTTATTTTATGTTTTATCTATCATGATTTTCACTGCATATTAAATTGATGTCGTTAAAAAAGTGTTTTTGAGTAATTTAAATGACGTAATAAATACACTTCATCGTCCTTTTTATCGTTGATTCAGAACTTATGGTGAAAGTTAAAGATTTTTGAAAAAATATTTAAAAAATTTTGAAATATATTTTCCGCTAACCCAACCCTTTAGTTAACTCTAAAATATACCCCCTGAGTGTCATGTTTTTGCAAAGCTGGGCTTTCATTCAAAAAATATTTACTACTTTGTCACAATAGAAATAATATATATTGCACATTGAGGTATTTAAACCTTTAACATAAAAAGTATGTAAAAGCTAGACAAAACCATATATTTATAGGAATGCTTTTTTTATTTAAAAAGTACACTAAACTGTTTCAAGATGTCTCTGAGTGCTAAACTTTCCAAAACTTTCTGTTAAAATAATTAAAGAACTTTTTCAAATGAGGTAAATATATAATTTTCAAAACGATAAGAATTTTTATCTGAAAAAAAACTGAAATTTTGTTAAGAAAAAAAGTATTAACTATTTTGAAAGGAATTATTGTTAAAGGAATTGAGTCTTTGCCAAAAGCTCAAATTTTAAATTTGTATATCTTTGCAAACTGATGGTGTAAACCTTGAATACTGCTAACTTATATTTTTTATCGAACAGAGTTTTTAGTTTTAAATATCTAAGGTCTAAATATATAACAAAGATATAGATTAGAAAATCAGAGTTTGTGGCAAAGTCTTAATTCCTGCGGTCCACAAAGACAACTCTGAACTATAATATTGCTTAGCTAATTCCAAAAATTTGAAATTGGTTGTATTCTAAAAATAAGTGAACAATCTCTTAATAACCTTTCACTTACTTTGCTAGTGTTTGTGCTTGTTCTGTTTCCAGCGATCTCTGCTTCTCGGAGGATTGCCGAATTTTCTAAAAAAAATTGTATAAAAATTTCCAAAATTTACTTGAATTAGAATTTCTAAAAGGGAACAGAAAATAAGTGATGTGGTGTTAAAGCATATTAAAGGGAGTGTTCGCGAAAAATGAAAGGGGGTATAGGCTTAATGCGATAAAAAAGCGCTTTTGATCGCTACTAATCTTACTTCAATCTGTTGCGTCTATAAGGAGAAAATTGTTAAAGACGTCTCATACCGAATAACATGGCGTCCATACAAATTGAGAAAATTGCAACATACGACTTAGACCGCAAAAAAATCAATTTAATTTCAAACAAATCATTCAGATATTACAACCTATAGTCATCGATTATCTTTCGCCACATTTATATATAGTTGATTTTTCATAATATGTTTTAATTGTTATGATCTGAGAGTTACTTATAAAAACATTTATTTCTGTTTTGAGGATTTTTGATAATGAAGACGACATTTTCATATTTTCCAGGAATGTTCGAAAACAAGTTGTAAGCTAAATATTATTTTAAAGAACAAAATCAAAACTAGTATGAAATATCAAATATATACAAATGTGGCGAAAGATAATCGATGACTATAGGTTGTAATATCTGAATGATTTGTTTGATATTAATTTGATTTTTTTACGGTCTAAGTCGTATGTTCCAACTTCCTCAATTTGTATGGGCGCTACGCTCTTCAGTATGAGACGTCTTTATCAATTTTCTCCTTATAGACGCAGCAGATAGAAGTAAGATTAGTAGCGATCAAAAGCGCTTTTTTATCGCATTAAGCCTATACCCCCTTTCATTTTTCCCGAACACTCCCTTTAAGTAAAAAGCCTATCTTTTACGATATCCATGATTCGTCTTTTAAAAATGGTTATTTCAATAGTGGATTCTCTACAAACGGAATTATTTAGTTTCAATTAGAACTTTGCCTTTCTCTATTATTTCTAAAATAATAGAGTTCTTGCCATAATATCAAATTTTCATATTCCTATATCTTTTATTATTTGATCTACCAAAATTCGTAGTTTGAAATGTCTAAGGTCTGCGGCAGTGGGTTGCAAAGATATAGGGATTAAAAATTCTGAGTTTGTGGCAAAAACTCAAATCCTTTGTTTTACTTCTGCCTCGGCCGGCAAGGATCTAATTAGTTCTAGTTTTTCATATAATTTTTTTTTACCCTTTCATAAAGATATCTACATTATATTATGTATTGAACCTTTTTCAAGGTGTAGATTCATCTATTACATCGATTTATGTTCTGACTATAGAAATTAAATCAGACCCACGGAATTCATGCTTAAAAGCAATGGAGAAAACTGTGAGAGTAAAACATTTTATACTAAATAAATTACTATGTCTTTCACACATCAAACTAAAGAAAACTGGACGAAAGATGTAAATCATAAATGTTTTTAATTATAACTCCTCTTAATGTGTAACCAAATAAATATGTTTTTCATTTACTTTTATGTAAAGTCAGAGCTAGTGGAGCAACAAAGGCACAAAGTCGAACTAGTAACGTCTTTTAAGAACTAGTTTGATCACGAGTGAAACTTAAAAATCAACCCATATTCTATTATGGCTAGATTCATGTAAGCTAAGATTAGGGTTGTTAATCGTTTTTGTAAACGATTGTTAAATGATCGTTTTTTGTTTCGTTTTCAAAAACGATCGTTTCGTTTTCGGAAAAAACTATCGTTTTTAAAAACGACCCACTCGTTTTGAACTTTCAGAAAACGAATAGCGATCGTTTTTGAAAACAATCGTTTTTATTAAAACGATTTGCGACCGTTTTTTATACGATTGTTTATTAAAAAACGATCGTTTTTGAAAAAACGATCGTTTTTGAAATTTTTTTTAATTGACAATTATGTTAACGATCGTTAACGAAGGGTACTTTTTCAAAACGGTTGATTTTGGAAAAAAATTACTTGCAACTTCATTGAATGTCGTCTTACATGAAGTTTAACAGTTGTGGGGGAGTTAAAACTCCTTGATATTTTCTTAAAAACTACTCAATGACAAGTACAGATGCCCTCAGGTCGGTTTCCTCTCTTCGTTAACGATCGTTAACGAAGGGGTCGTCGTTAACGATCGTTAACGAAGGGTTGTCGTTAACGATCGTTAACGAAGGGTCATCGTTAACGATTGTTAACGAAGGTTGTCGTTAACGATCGTTAACGAAGGTCCGTCGTTAACGATCGGTAACGAAGGGTCGTCGTTAACGATCGTTAACTAAACGACGAATTTTATAAAAACGATCATTTTGAAAAACGAGCGTTTTGAAAAACGATCGTTTTAAAGACGACCATTTTTAAAAAACGAACTTTTTAAAAAAAGATCGTTTTTAAAAACGATCGTTTCGTTTTCGGTTTTTCGTCGTCGTTATCATAACGAAACGATCGTTTTTCTGAAAAATGAAAACGTTAACATCCCTAGCTAAGATTCATGAAAAAAAACAATCAATTGTTGCCTTTCAGTAAAAGGCAATTTAGGAGAAGAAGAAAAAGCCGGACATTAGTATCCGGGTCTTTTGATGCTTCACTGCTTTAATTGGGTGAACTGTAAAATAATAGATGCACAATTTTCCTTAAACAAGATAATTTCTTAGAAATGCTAAATAAAGTAAAGTCTATTATACTTTTCAAAAAAAAATTTTGTTTTAAATTATCAACATTTATGCTTAATAGAAAATATTGAATAATATGATTTTCCAGGAAAACATTCCCATATTTTAAAGAACTTTTTTTTAAATCCTAAAGATCATAATATTGCATCCTTTATAAAAGTTTTCTTCTGCAAAGAAAAGAATAGAAAACAGCAGATTAAAATAAATTGACTTCATGTTTACAAGTCATTTATTTCTATTAGTTTAGATACAAATATATTTATTTAATCTGTTTAAATCTTCATTGAAGAGTTATTTTCTCAGTTTAATAAAAAAAAGTATCTTGTTTGAATTAATTTATGTTAACAAGTGATTTATTTCTTTTAGTTTAGATACAAATGTATTATTAATTATATAAATTTTTAATTCATGGAAAAGTTCTTTTTTTATTTAAAAAAAAACATGGAAATATGAATGTCTTCTTAGAATATATTCTTTTATCCAGCAAAATAAAAAAGATAATTGAAAGAGATAGTTTCAAGAAAAAAGAATGTCCGGCCTTACAGATTTTAAATAGTTAATTTGGTAACCTTCTTTCAAATAGTACAGGCGAGGAAAGTTTCATTGTTTGAAATTTCCAAGGTATACAACACTGAGTTGGGGTTATAGGGATTACAAAACTTGATTTTGTGGCAAAAACTTAGCTACAGCTGGTTCAATAATTCTTAGGCCATGGTTCAAAATGTTCTCACAAAAACGTCGGAATTCATATTTTTTTAACTGTAATCAGAATAAAACAATATTTTTTTGCAAAAATATTATTCAACTTTAAAGAAAACAAACGCATAAAAACTATTTATTATCCTGTAAAATGTTTTCAGGTTTTCTTCTGAGTTAATAAGGGAAGCTTTTAATTAAGTTTTGAAATAGAGTGTTATATTCATTATCTTAATGTTGGTAATGAAAGCAAGAAGTGAAATTCTGGAAGAATATTTAAATTTGAAGTTTGAGGAGAGATTGCAGATATATTATATATATGCGGATTTATATATTGCATGGTTTTGCGACACTATTCCGCACATCAAGGATATACTGCACTGCAGTTATATATTGATAAGATATAGATAGGCTGCAGTTGCACAGAATATATGCACGGCTTATTAGTAGAGATGAATGCGATTGACTTTTTTAAAAATTCTTTCGTTCATCGTTTTTTTCATTCATCCAGAAAAAATGGACTTCCTTCCTCTTTTAGAATTATCTATCATTTTAAAATAAATTTTGTTTGTTTCGTAAAATCGATATTTCAATAAAATCGTTTGTTCAAACTATTGTTTTTCAAAATTTCATTTGAAAATTCGGTAAAAAGCTATCGTTTTCAAAAGTTCATTTCAACGGATGATTTAAAATTGTTCATTTTTGTTTTTTTGTTCATTTTTTAAAAAACCATAGTTTTTTCTCTGAACTGGATTAACTGTTTGCAGATGTTAACTGAGCTTATTATAAATATAAATGTTTAATTAAACTTTTGCTGTAAACTTACAGTCTGATAAGAATACAGATTTAAATTTTGCAAAAGTTTGTTAGTTTTATTAATTTTGTCCTTACCATTTCCTTTTAGCATTTTTATGTTAAAATATAAGATTTTTTAATTATTTTAAAGATATTGTGTTGACATAATATCAAGATAATGAAGTAGATTCACAACTGTACACTTTAAACCTTCATCTGATTATGAGTGATGTGGATATGGATGAAAATTTAAAAAATGGATTCCCTTTTTTCATTGTTTAAAAGTTTTCGGAAACTTTACTTTTGGTCCTAATAATTTAAACAGCCTTTAAATATTGTTTCTGAAGATTTCTATTGTATCCCTTAGTAACAGAAAATATAGTTTTCAAAGATCTTTTAAATTAAATATATTTTAACTTTATCTAGAATTTTACCCCTTCTCATTGTATATACATAGATATTAATTTTTGGAACATACTTAGGAGTTAGAGCTCTTGGATAATTCAAATATAGCACAACACATACTGTATCTTAATGGTCTTAAAGGAGGGAAGGGGGTTAAACATGATAAAAGCTTTAAAAAATTGAGTAAAAAAGTTGTAGCCTTTTCTCTTTTCTGCTAAATGTGTTCAACCAAAAATTACAAATTCAGCAGAAAATTATAATCTTAAGCCCATTACAAATAAAGGGAAATATATATGAATAAATATAAAACATGTTGTGATGATATTCCTTTTAATCAAAACATATACTCCATTGTTACTAATCCCTCACTATTATCTTTTTTCTTTTTTTTCTCACAATATTACAATCTCTTATGTTCTTTAAAATATGAAAATACTTTTTTTTTTTGTAAATTTGGTTTTGGTGTGGTTGTTGTTTTACAATTCAAAAATCAATTTTTATTGTTGTTTATAATATTTACATTTGCTTTTGTTATTGTTCCCAATATCTAAGTATATTATTGTTGTTGATCACAATATTAAAATCTGATTTTGTTGTTGTTTACAATATCTAAATATATTTTAGTTGGTATTAAAAAAACATGTTTTGTTGTTGTTGTTTATAAAATGAATTTTTTTTTCTATTTACAATACAAAACTGATTGAGAACAACAACCACTAAGTTTTTTTTTTATTATTTGAAATAAACCTGTTATGAAATTTGTAGGCTGATTTTGTTGTAAAATACACTAAAATAAATTCTTTGGTTGTTGTTTACACTAAAAATTAACCACACTCTGTTTATCTCTTTGTTGTTTAAATGTAAACATATTTTTGACGCTGTTTACATAAAAAATACGCCTTTTTTGGTTAACATATATTTGATTTTAACTTTGGTTCTACCATTTAATAAATCTATTTTGTTGTTGATATAATTTAAGAATCTAACCTGCAGTATTCCATCAATATTTGGGGATTTCATCATGATTTCCTCTAAACACAATAAAAATTTTGATATTTTTTTCAAAATACTCTTTTTACTTTTAAAAAACTACCTTCTCCCTTGTCACAGAACATTTTTAGAAAAGAATTAAGAATTATGAGAGATCGAATTTTGAGTGTGATACAAGATAGGGTTATTAATCGTTTTGATTTTTTTTTAAAACTTTTAATAAAACTTTTTATCATTTCAAAACTGTAATCTGTTAAAGTTTGCTTTTTATTAAACTTTGCAATATTTTTTATCGTCAGAGAAATAAAAATGGTAAAACGATTATTTCAACTCATTCGTTTTTGTTTACATTTTCTGTCGGTGTCCAAAGGAAATGAGTTTTGGTTTACATTTTCTGTCAGTGTCCAAAGGAAATGAGTTTTTGCCACAAAATCTAATTTTTTAATTCTGATAGTTTTGCAACTTGATGTTGTAGACCGTTGATATTTTAAACTATGAATTTTGTAGATCAAAACGTCAAAGTTTGAAAAATCAAAGGTTTGCACCATCAGGCTGCAAAGATAAAGTGCTTAGAAAATTTGAGTTTGTGAATGTTTAGAAAAAAAACAGTTTTAAAATTTGTAAAACTTATCAGATTTTTGTGGCACCTTTAAAAACGTACTAAAATGAAAATCAACCCTGGATACAACATTTTCATATACTTTAATTTATATATTTTAAAACTTTTAGACCCCCCCCCTTTCTCAACCCCCGGATTGAAAATGACTATCTTCCTCCCCCCTTCAAAAAATTCGTTATCCGTTGATGTTAAATGGGGCAATTATTCTAATATATACCCCCCCCCCCCCACAAACGGATTACCTTGGTCTGTCAGCAAAATATCATTATTTATAGTCCACTTGAATATTTTTGCTGGTCTCGGGAACAATATAAGGCCTCATTCCGTCAGCCATCTTACAACTAAGTAGTTTGCTCTAATAGCATTTTTTACAAGTTAGCACATTTTCTGAAATACAAGAATTTATTTATACTCTAAGCTGTAGAATTGAAAAGAAGATTATATTTCTATTTTTAGTTTTTGTAAAACCAAACTGAGATAGAAAGTAAGAAGTAAATTGTTTCAATTAATTTTGAATTTAAAAGAAATCATAAACTTGATAACTTATTTTTAGAAAATTTTAGATTTAAAAATATGATTGGAATCTTAAAACTTTAAATCTTTCTGATTTTTTTCTTCTTTCAAATCTTGCTGTGCGTCTGTAAAGAACATAAAAGGTTTATGTCCATAACTGATATATTGAAGAAAACCACTGCATAATCCCAAATATGAATATATGTATAATGTTGTGAAAACTTCCTCGCATTTAGATTCATATTTCCTTTGCACAATTTACTCTAATTCTTGTTTGGCAAAATAAACCTTACATTTACACTGCAGTTTTATGAATACATCCATCTTGGAGAAAAATGTATGTAAGAGTCAAAATTGAAATTTCGAGATTGCATTTTTACATTACTACCCCTCCACGGCCTGCCTTGACGCTCTTTTAAGGTTAGGGCACCCCAACCCCTCTTTTTATTTTTAAATCTTCTACCGTGGTATCCAGAAAACTCTGGAATAGATTCTAATTATGACTTTAAATACTCCGATGAACATTAGAAACAGCAATTGTGCATTGTAAACCGACCCATTTCACGTAATAAGTGAATTAATAACTTACTAGTAACGCTGTTTTTTGCTTTAATGTCGTCTTTCTTCTCTTGCTGACAATAAATTAGCTTTTTTCTGTTGCTTTCCAACTCACCATTTTCATCGTATGCGCTACATAAAGTTGCTACATCAATTTGGGCCCACGCCGTTATTGATAAATTTACCAAAGTTATCGTTTAAGTTTGTTAACACGAATTGTAATTCTATTCAGTCTTACAAGACATTTTATCCTCAGGCTAATTTCCCCTGAATTATTAAAGCATATGGGATTTAATATGGGATACCACATTAAATATTGCTTTTAAAAAATCTATAAATAACCCAGTTTCCCCTCTTGGTTTACTATAAAAGTTTATTCTATTGGATATCATGAAAAAAAACAATGAATGATAATTTGACAATTAACTCATTGTTTGTTTCAGAAAGTTTAGTTATTGTTATAAATAAGAAGATCATTAGCTGTAATATATTAGACTTCAGACTGTGTTAGAATGTGTCCCAAGAGTGCACTGCGTTTTCAGGAATTATTTGGTAATTTACTAAACCTCACTTTTTTACCCTTCAATCATACATGATACAGAGTTTTAAGATTTATTCTTGAAAATCGGACATCAAAAAACCCTTAACAACATCTACTACTTTTTTAACAGGGGGAAACTCATCATAAGTTATCTGTGACCGCAGCACTTGGCCCTCTAGCCTGTTCTAGCCCCAGCCTGGAAAACCATAGAAGCAGCGCTCGGCCCTAAGCCTATCATAGCCCCAGTGCTTAACCCGTGAGGCCTCTAACAATAGCATTCGGCGTTCTAAATGCGACTCTGTAACATTTCTTATAGTACACTTTCGTCTAAGTTCACTTTTGTCTAGTTCATTTTCGTCTAGTTCTTTTTTGTCCAGTAACCTTTGGTCTAAGTATCATTTGGTCTAAGTAACATTTGGTCTAAGTAACTTTTGGTCTAAATAACTTTTGGTCTAAGTAACTTTTAGTAAGTAATTTGGTCTGAAAAAAATGTTAAGTGAACACGTTGAACTGAAAGGAACTCAATGGCGGGATTAATTAGATTATAAGAAAGTATACATGATTCTTTGTTGTTGTTGTTGTTTACCATAGACCAATAGTAGCGTATGAATGAATATGGGAGTGATGAAGTACTTTTAACAACCATTTTTTATGGGGCAAGGTTCACATTCTACAGAAGATTGTTACATCTTTCTGTAGACGCACTACTTCACGGAACCATCTCATTTAGGAAGTTTAGTTTTAGACCAAATTCCTTACTAAAAATTACTTATACCAAAAGTTACTTGGACAAAATGTTACTTACTCCTTTCTAAAAGTTACTTAAACCAATTCTGTAGTTTTATACCAATTAACTTACTAAAAGTTACTTAAACCAAATGTTACCAGACCAAATGTTACTTAGACCAAATGTTACTAGACCAAATGTTATTAGACGAAAGGGTACTAGACGAAATGTTACTGAGCCCTAAATGCTAACCTGTTATAGCCGCAGTAGTCGGCACAGAAATATTCTTAATCAAACTATCAATATTTTGTATGCTAAAAATAGCTTCGAGTCAGTTTGTAAAAAGGGGCTGAATTATAAATAAAAAAAGAAATTTTTACAAATAACATAGATTTTTGATAATTACAGCTGTCATTCCTTAAAAAAAAGGGAAGAGTCTGAGTTTTTAAGGAGGGGGAGCCAGGAACGTGAGTCTTAATTCTCTTAATTCCAATAAAATATTTGAAACACTCTGTTTTACCTTTACCTTATTTTTATTGAATCCCCTAAGTCTATATATATTCATATCTTTCCTCTATAGCAATTAATACTAGCTACAGGATTAATATTCACAAGAAAAATAAAGACGGACACAACATGAGTAAAATGTTAATTCTATATATTCTGTAAGAGAAAAATTTTGACTTGATAAACTTGTAATAAAACCTTAACGGCCCTACAGAGGAAATCTGAAGATTAAATAAATAACAGTTTAAACTTAGAATTGCATCAATCATCACACATAAGAATTAAAATTCTGTTTATCGAATAGAATGTTTGAGACAGTTGTATCCAGGTTTCATAAGAAGAAAAGAACATAAAACACCTTATTCAGTAGGTTTAAAAACACCAGGTTGCAACCTTGTTAAACAAATATACCTGATAGGGCTAATGTTTTAATTAATGTTTTGTTATGAACACGATGACAAAAACGAAACAATCGTTTTAAAAAATGTTTTTACAATGCTCGTCATTTCGTTAACAGTCCTTAATGACGTCCCTTTGTTAAAGATCGTTAATGACTACCCTTCGCTAACGATTGTTAACTATGAACCTTTGTAAATGATCATTAAACTTAGATACTTATATTTAAGCAGTTTTAAAGAAAATATCGAGAAGTTTTGGCTCCCTCACAACTTTTTACATTCATGTAAAACAACATTTGATAAAATTGCATGTATTTTTTCACAAAGTTCATTGTTTTGTTAAAATATTTAACAACAATCCTTTGTTAAAGATCGTAAACGATGATTATTTGTAAACGATCATCAACATATTTATTAATGACATTTTTTTTCAAAAACAATTGTTTTTTCAAGAAACGATCCTTTTTTTAGAATCAATCGCTGATAATTTTTATAATAATGATCATTTTTAAAAACGATTGTTATTTGTATTCTAAAAGTTCAAAAAAAAGGTTGTTTTAAGAAACGATGGTTTTTCCAAAAATGAAGCGATCGATTTTGAAAACAATCAAAAAACGAAACAAAAAACGATCGTTTCATGATCGTTTTCAAAAATGATTAACAAGCATAACCATGAGGCCATATAGTCTTATTTCTAAGAAATAAACAGTTTTATGTTAACATTTTTATTTCTGATTACAAATTGAGGTGCCATACGCTGGTGATTACAAATTGAGGAGCGCCCATGCAACAAAACACATTTGGGTGGCTGTGATTCCAAATTGAGGACTTCTGCACTCCCCCTCTGACAGGGGCGCAACAAGCACTTTAGTTCTGTTATTTCAATTTCCAATGATATTGATATTTTTTCTTTCTGGGCTGAGCGCTGCGGCAAGGAAAAGCTAGTGGGGCTGAGCGCGGTGGCTAGGACAGACTAGGGGCTCGAGAGCCGCGGCTAGAACAGGCTATCTCTCTGTCTTGTAATTTAACGCGGCATGTGCGCTTAACTCCATTGGGCCCCTGCCAGAAAAACTGCCCAGATTTTAATTGTACTCAATAATCTCTTCTCTAAAAGTTCTAATTCGAGAAAAGTTAATAATGAAAAGACTTTCTAAATAAGGGAAAAGCAGGTTGCAGCCGCCCCACCCACACAATTCCAACTTTGTAATATCTTTGTTAAAGTAATGAACAGAATACAGTGTCGTCGCCGGTATTTTTTTAAAACTATATCAATCAAATATCTCCTAAGGGCAGTAACGTTTTTTTTAGGCTATAGGGTTTTATAGGGTAGCGTAATTTTAGTATGACCACTAAGGGGGGGGGGCACCTACCTGTAAACCTTTACCAACCCCCCCAACCCCCGTCCCCTCTTTGGGTTCACATTTGAATTTAGATATCATACTTTAATAGATAACATAAAGCCTGTAAAAAATGTCTCTGTATAAATGTGTAACAGCAATTTCTCAAAAAGCCCCTTTACCATTTCTAGAAAATGATAATTGATTACAAAATTATAAAATAGAAGTTTTACAATATATAACTCGAGTTGATTAAGTTCTTAATGATTATTAAGGCCCTATCTGAACATGTTTTATAAATAAAGATTTTACTTTTGTTTAAAACGAATAAAATGTTCAGTGTTCACTCAACTTTTTGCACTTTATTAGCTCTTACTTTGTCACAAACCATTAGCAAAAATGTTCACAAAATCATGAATATTATTTGGCCGGTTATTCTGCCATTGTACTTGAAAACATCAAACTCATTCTGCAAGAAAGCTGTTGTTGATGATTATAACTGTTTGCTAAATTTGACAATGAATTAATTTAAAATAATGATGTATTCTATCATGGTCACTTGATGATCACTCACGTCTTGTTTATATTAGAATATAAAGGATGGACCGTCCAACTATGGTGTAGTCATGTTTTCTCTTATCTAGCTTTATACAACCTGATAATCTACCAGGGTTGGGTTCAGGTCCCTCTGTATACCAACCGACCCGGAGTTTTCAATTCTCCGACCCTACCCGGAGCTCTTTCTGTTCTCCGACCGTACCCGGAGCTTTTCTAGTCCTCCGACCCAAACCATGCCACAACTTGTTTAATTCTAATACCACTATGCT